TAGAAATCAAATTATTTTTTATCCTTCAGTATAAAATAACATTTTAATTTACACTGATCAAAAGTCAAAATTAAATTTTTAACATAAACGAGAACATGAATAATCATTGTTACATAAAACACAATTAACTGTGAAAAGGTAATAACCTTCTTACCCTACCATTGACTTCAATATCAAAACAGACACCAAGAGGATCAATCAGAAAATATTTGCCAGATTGGGAAATTGAATAGCTAATGGAACACAAGCATCCGATACCACCAATGCATAAAACAGAAATTATGTATCCATTGTAACAGCAATAACCCAGAATGTCTGTGAAATTCATCATCTAACCAAAAGTGCAAAAAAAGCTCAAGAAAGAAAGTTGGGGCAGAAAGAGGAAAAGAAAAAAAGAAAAAGAAAAAATAAAAGATTGGATGACACTGCTGAACGTAATGTCAGAATCCCGTGCCACCATTGAAATCCAGCCAACTAGCTACAACTTCAGAACTCTCAAGATTGCTCACTGCATATAAGAAAAGAACTAACATTATAAGCACTGCTTACTCATCGTCGAACTATAAATTAACCAAAATCTAAATATGAACTTTGGCCGCGTAGGATCCTTTCCATACCAAAATTACAGGTTTAGAAGCATATAAATCAAGCCAGTTTGTTTAAGAACACTACATTTCTAAAAAAAAGAGCAAAACAAAATTGAAGGATAATACTTGCCTGTTGTTGCTGTTGGTAAGCCCCTGGCTGCTGGTAATTTCCGTATCCAGGATAGCCCCCATAGTACATGTTAGGATCTTGGGGCGGAGGTGTATACCCATATGCCTCGTACCCCTGTGGAGGATATCCATAATATCCACCGTTCCATTGTGCTTGATCTGGCTGAGCCTGCAAAAGAAATAACAGATGGAACTGATTGATGTAAGTACAGGGAAAAAAAAAGTAAAACCAGCCTGCAAAATACAAAAGCAGCAAGCAAACCTGTTTGTTTGAAGGACTACGGCCCCATGAAAGGCGAATGCTTTGACCACCCAATTGGGTTCCATTCAACAGAGATAGTGCTTGCTCCGCAGAAGTTCTGTAAAAGAATTACATGTAACAACAAAATTATAGGAAATTAATAGCACATAAAAAAGACTAATACTATCTTCAGATTTACTTGTTGGCTACCTGTTAGCAAATTGAACAAAACCACAGCGCTTGCCTACAGGAATTTTCACATGTACTACCATACCATATTGGCCAAACACTGATTTTAACATGTCTTCTGTAACATTAGGATCCAAAGCCCCAACAAATATCTGGCGTTCACAAGAATGAAACGTCACGTGGCTATACCTAGAAATAAACTACATTATATTTAAAACAAACTACCCACTGTTGTATTATTTGGATCTGTCTCGCCTGGATTTCCTTGAGGGTTCTGATAGGTAGCTGCAATGACAAATTCATATGAACAAATATAAAACAGAATATAAAAGAAATCGTCGTCAAGAAACAAAGGGTAAGGTTTCCCTTTGTAGTTGCCAATGAAACATACCAAACCATCCACCCAACACAAACAAGACCATTACCTTAGACGAAATAAATGACAAGCAAACAACATACCTACAAACTTTTTTTTTTTTGAAATAACAAGATTGCTATAAACTAGAGTGGCAGCAATTAAGGAACAAACGAGAATATCCCGTAGTCAAACAAAAATGAGCAAAAATATAAAACTCTTGGTCCTAGAAATTAGGATAACCATCACTGGGCATGGTAAAAAAATTTGGAGCAATCAATGAAGAAGTATTAAAAACTAAGTGGAACTAGAGATTTCAGGGCAACTGATCAGGCACTGCATAAAAGAATGAAGCATGCGCTATGTCATCAAGAAAAAAGCTAAATGAACACTAGCCAGCGTGGTAGGATTCTTGCTTTACTAACTTCCAACGAAATAAAAAAATCAATAATTTATCAACTAAGCTGGCCCAGCACTTTCTCCAAGGAAAACTACATATGCTATTTCTTTGAAGCTAAATTTAATGATAGTAGTGGGGATAACATCGATTTTCATTGAAAGCCGCATGGTACAAGGCTTTGGGACAAGATGCAACTGGAAGAGCATGAAATAACAGTTGAATTCAGGGAATTCAGTATAAGTAATAGGACACTACATTGGAGATTTTTACTGACCACGTCAGAACGCATATGTAAATCACCTATCAGACTTTCTTGTTTGGGCAATGGTTATCCATATTCCATATGAGAACTATCGCCAAATGTCGTGACATCAAATGATTATTAAATTAGAAACAGAAAAAGTAAGAAAACCTTAAAGGAGCATGTTACAAAGTAAAAAAGAAAGCAATTATGTAAAGTGCTGCTTCATGCAGTCTAACGTCTAACAGATAACTCCCGTAAATATAAAATCTAGAACAAAATTCCTTGCAAAATGAAATTAGGCTTGCACAGGGACAAAATTGAAGAGAAAAAGGGATAATACTTTGTGAAATGTAATTAGCGAAAAACCTGAGCCATGAGGAAATAAGGCAAGAATCTTAAGGTTTAAATAAAGTAAACTATGGAAAGGAACTGTAATGACTGGGAAATGAAATGAATTTAATTTGAACGGTAACGCTTCATAAGTAAGGAATTGGAAAAGTAATTTGCGAGAATGTAGCAAAAAAGTGCTACCCGTAAAAATGAAGAAAGAAGTTCACATTGTAAACAAAATAACTGACCTAAAATGAGGCCACGCATTAAGGTGGAATCATTTCATCTGTAATCAGTTCCAGGCCCCTAAAATGAGAGCCTCTTGGCGTCCTGTTTTAAGAAAACATGAGTTTTACATAAGTTTTTGCATGTTTTAACATAATTAAAAATGCGCCCAAGTTTAGAAAGGCAAGTCCTGGAAGGAAATGACTTTGTTATTCTGCCTATCTTCAACTGAACTGAAAGATGGGAAGCTTTTAAGAACACTCTGACCACCAACTTATAAAATGTTGCACAATGAAGGAGCAATCAGCTTAGCACTTTCAAATTATTCTACACTATCATACAGACTACAAGAATATTCGTGAAGAAAGTCAACAAACATAAACAAAAGAAAACATCCACATAGCAATTGCAGCAAAGAATCTATACATATATATCACTAAAACTCAGCACGTACCTTTCTGATATTGTTGTGCAGTTACAGGTTTTTTAGTTGCTGCTGGCCCAATACGCATAGGCCTGGTGGAGCAGTATTGCCCATTCATTTCAGTCATGGCACGCAATTGTTCATTTTCATCACCAAATCTCACAAACCCATAGCCCTTGGAACGACCAGTGAGCCTATCAGTGACAACTTTTGCACTCTTCATTGATTGATACACAGCTTTAAATGTTTCTTGTAAGGTGTAATCAGTGACATCAGCAGCCAAATCTCCAACAAAAATTGTGTAGTCAGGGCCATCATCCTGTCGTCTCTCACCAGAGCCAAGAGCAGCCCAGTTGAGCCTGAAATTCTGCTCAGAATTTGGCATTTGTGTGCCATTGAATGCCTGTAAAATCCTCTCAGCTGCAGCATGATTCACAAACTCAATGAAGCCATAACCCTCTGGGAATCCTGTCTGCTTATTCCGAATAACCTTTGCTGAAACAGCCTATACACAAGGAAAAAAGTTTGATTCTTGCACTACAAACTAACAGTTTTCATAAAAGCTCAAATTGCATTTGGCATCAAAGAGGGTACACATTGCATATTGCCTTCTTAATCATCAAGTTGGAAAGAGATATTAAAGATAAATAAAGTATATGTATAGAAATAGAACTATACCTACCTTCTGAAGGAAGTAGGAGAATATGATAAAAAGTTATAAATCTCCTACAGTTCTTTTACATTTTTCAAACTGATGTTCCATTGAGCAGCACGCTTATTTAAGACAGAGTAACAACTCCAGAAATTATCTAACCTGTGCATCCCTGACACAGGTAGTTACTTGTGTTCATACTTGATACCATGTTCTCTACACAAAAATGGCCCTTCTTGTTTCTATCCTGCTATATTCTTAAAAAATTAATTACGCTGCTTTTTGGAAAATTAGAACATAAAAATAGCTACTCCTTATGAATGTTTTTTTTTGAAATAAAAATGGATAATACAAGTTGGCGTCGCCCCGGACGCCATGGAGAACTATATCTACACCAAAAAAAAAAATTAGAAATAAGTTAGACACCGAGTATCATCTTTATCCCTCCTAATACTAAATCGAATTTAACAGAGTATCCCATGGTACCAAAGCAACCTTTTTTTTTCTTGTAAGATGATGCCTTACCCTATCTCTTTTTGTAACATCTTCTGTCTTGCTAATATACTTGTTAAAAATAAATAAATGAACCAGTTAAGAATAGCTCAAAGACTACCAGATTAATCGACGAAGCAGCATGACATATAGGCCCACATGTATTATCTCAAACATTATACCTAAAAAAATGCATCTAAGCATAAACATCCACATGTGCGCATAATACCTCTCCGGTTTGACTGAAGATGCTGATGAGGTAGTTCTCATCCATCCAAGGCAACAAATCCCCGACCCACAGTGACCGGATCTCGCTAGAGCCTGCACCCTGTGCCATGGCTGCATATTGCTGCTGCTGCTGCTGCTGCTGCACCTGCACTTGCTGAGTCGGTGGTGGGACTGGCTGAGGGGTCCAACCTGCAGGAGGTGGCATGGGCTGTGGCTGCTGCTGCATCATCATCCACTGCTGCTGTGATGGAGGCTGCTGGTACTGCTGCTGAGTCTGCTGATCAGATGGCATTGGTGGTGGCGCCAATCCTGCTGCAGCTGGTTGCGGCATCATGGTGAATAAACCTTGGAAAAGAAAGTGAATGGTGATAAGGTTACTCAGTCTAGGGACTTGATTGGAACGGTATGAGAGAATGGGATCTGAGGTCAAAGGAAGGTAAAAATCCTCGAAAGAAAAAAGGACTGTAGAGTGACCTTACTCCAAGAGAAGGGAGTATAAATTACTTTCTTAATCCTACAATCTACACAATATTAGTTTTTTAAATATATTATTTAGTGAGAAGTTGGATATTACCAAAACGTAATTAAAACAAACTCAACATAATTTTTTCACCAGCAAAATTTTCTCTCTTTTCAAATGATTTTTAAAATATACAAATTATTTAGTAAAAATTTGAAATCGCAAATTGTACTTGAGCCTAAATTCAAATACGACCTTTAAATTATTATTTTTTTAAATATATAACAACTATATTAGAAATTTATCTAATTAAAAGTCTTGTTTCCCAAAAAACCTAGATAACAAAGAATGTTAAGTAGAAATTTAAATACAATTGTTACTTCAAAGTAAACATATTTGTCCATTCAAGGTTTAAAATAACATCCTTACCAACTAATCAATTACATTTCCTTGCTCTTGGAAACATTCTTGCATAACCGATTGCCAAAATGCAACATACATCCTTACCAACTAAACCAATTTCACACAAAAAAAGGAATGGCTTATTTGATTCTTTATAAACCAAATCTAGGCACCACAGATCAAATCAAATGAAAATTAAAAAAAAAGGTGAAAAAAAAGAAAAAGATAAGGTAGAGCATGTTATGCACAACACAAAAGTAAAGCTTTAATTTTTCTGTTCTCCATCATGGATGAAAATAACTGCTTCATACTAATACTTTCGAGATGCTCAGCAGATTGGAGGTTAATGAAATATCATTCCAACATAAACCAGACCACATGCTTTCAATGCAATAAAATGATTAGGAGATAAAATTCATGACACATAAGCCTTTCCAATCTCTACTCACTAAATCTTTATCCAAAACCTCTCCTTCCCAGACAAAACAGATAGGCCATCTCAACCTTTTAAGTAATATAAGCAAAGGAATACTATAACCAATCTATCTTGGCAAAAAACGAAACTTTATAAAAGGATAACACAAAACTGCTTCGAGCAGAAGCAAAGCAGAATTCGGAGCAAACCATGTACAACAGAAAAAGGGTTTCAAGTTAGGATCAAATTTTTTCTGAAAAGATGGACAGGATACACAAAATTCAGCAGTTAATAGGACGCACTATTTCAAAACACAAACAATGTTATGCCAAATTATCTCACACGGTCAAAACACAAGATTGACATGCATAAGTAAGTAATTCTCTTCCCAGGTTTAAAAAAAAAAAAGGAGTCTGCATAGTATCATAGGGGGGAACGTAGAAACAAACATGAATCTAGGGTTTAAAAATCTTCACCTAACTATGCCCAAGTCAAGAAAGCTCCAGTAGCTGAGCACCTTTTTGGAGTTTTCGATCTCTCTGCTTCCACCGTCAATCTCGGCTTCCTTTTTCTCTTCCTTTCTTCCCCTCTTTCCCACTGCTCTCTCTCCTAAAATTCACGGAGAATCCCAACGAAAGAGTCCCTCTATTTTATCCTGAAAATTATCTTCTCTCCCTCGGACCCTCTGCTTCCCCGTTTCTCTGCTCTCTCTTCTTTTCTTCTTCTCGAGACACCGAAACCCTAAAGCCGCCTCCTCTCATCTGTCATCTTCTGGCACATGGGAGAAAATGAAGGGGAGGAAATACTGATGTTGGGCTGGGCTTTCTACTTTTTAGACTTTTCGTCCTTTTTTTTTTTTAATTTTTTTTTTCTTTAATCTTTTCTTTTATTTTTCCTTGTTATTTATTTCCATTTTTTTTAAAAAATATTTCCAGAAACACATTTTTTAATACTCTTACCTTTATTATATCCTAAAATTTTTTATTTTGATAAACGCAATATAATATTTTCACCAATATAATTTTTTATTTTCTAAAAACTTCTTAAATATTTGAACTTATATATTAAAAAGAATTAGTCATAAAAAATTGTGTTTAAACCTAATTTCAAATACAATATTTTAAATTAAGTATACAATTTTTGAACTTGTTTCCAACCAGTCCCACAATGTTAAAACTTTGTGTTCAATCTTTTTTTTAACTTTGTACTCAATGAGTTAGGTTGAATCTTTTGCATTAAGTACGAGTGACTCACATTCTTCATCTCATACCACACCGACTTCAACCTCAAAAACAAGCCCGGATAAAGCCAATATATCAAACGATATTTGCCTGAAACATCTGATTGAAACACAAGCATACGATCCGTCATTTTATCCATACAAGTAGTCGAACATAATTATGTAACTAACTGCAACGCGAATACCAAATAAATATATCAGAAACTCATCATCTCACAAAATGGCAGGGAATAACAAAAAACCTAGAAACCTGAAGAGACAAGGTGGGGAAGAAGGAAAAAGGAACAAAGTAAAAATAACAAAAAAAAAAAAAAAAAGGATTGGATGACACCTCCCAACATAAAGTCGGAAAATCGTGCCATCATTGAGAGCCAGCCAACTAATTGAAACTTCAGAACCTCTTGACGGGCCAGCCAACTAACTGCAACTTCAGAACTTCCAAGAGTCAAGGCGGCAGCTCACTGGACGTGTGAGAAGGACGAAAACTACAAACATTTCTCACTCAAAGTCAAACAGTGAATAAGAAAGACTAAATTCAAACTTTGACTAAACTGGATCTTTTTTTTTTTAATTGAAATTGCAAGTTCAGAGCAAATATATATGCGAGTTCCATTAAGAACAATGCATTTTCTGAAAGGGTGAAAAAGTTAAAACGACAATATTTACCTATTGTTGCTGTTGGTAAGCCCCTGGCTGCTGATAATTTCCATATCCAGGATAGCCCCCGTAGTACATGTTAGGATCTTGGGGAGGAGGTGCATATCCATATGCCTCGTACCCCTGTGGAGGATATCCAAAGTATCCGCCATTCCATTGTGCTTGATCTGGCTGAGTCTGTCAAAGAACAAATGGATGGAATTGATTGATGTGCCAAGCACAAGGAAAAACAGTCAAAGAACCAGGCCACAAAATATACAGCCAGCAAGTGAACCTGTTTGTTTGAAGGACTGCGCCCCCACGATAGGCGAACACTTTGACCACCCAACTGTGTTCCATTCAACATTGATAGTGCTTGCTCCGCTGAAGTTCTGGAAAAAAATTACGTGCAACATAATTATAAGAAAATAATGTGACACAAATATTCCAACACCATCTTCAGATTTATTTGATGGCTACCTGTTAGCAAATTGAACAAAACCACAGCGCTTGCCTAGAGGTATTTTCACATGTACTACCATACCATATTGGCCAAACACTGATTTTAACATGTCTTCTGTAACACTAGGATCCAAAGCCCCAACAAATATCTGGCATTCACAAGAATGAAATGTCACGTGGCTATACCTAGAAATAAACTACATCATATTTAAAACAAACTACCCACTGTTGTATTATTTGGATCTGCCTCGCCTGGATTTCCTTGAGGGTTATCATAGGTAGCTGCAATGACAGATACATGTAAAAATATAAGGAAACTGATGAGAAGCCATCGTTTGGAAATGAAGGGTAAGGTCTCCATTGGTAGTTGCCAATGAAACATGCCACACCATCCACCCAAAAAGACCTTTACCTTAGAGGAGCTAATTGAGAAAGTAAACACATTTCCAATAAACAAGGATGTCAGCAATAGGAAAAGAATCTCCCAAGGCCAAACAAAAATAACCAATTAATCTCATACTAACAAGTATAGAACTATTAGCAATCGAAGTTAGGATAACAAAGATTTTCATCGCTCAACATGGTAAAAGATTTTAGAACAAGAAATTGCAAACGCATGCAAAAATAATTTGATCTACAGATTTCAGGGCAACAGCTTGGACAATGCGTGCGATAGGAATAAAGCATGGCATATGCCATCAAGAAAAAAGCAGCAAAAACATCACGCAATCCTTCCAGGGGGTGCTGAACAAAATCTAAATAATCACCAACCATAGTTGTACAATTCTTGCTTTCTTATGTTCTCATGCAATAAAAAAAAAAGAAATAATAAATTTTACGAATTAAGCCATACAAACACTTTCTCCATGTCAAATATCAGATGCTATTTTTTTGAAGCCAAATTTAATGATAGAAGTGGGGATAAAATCAATTTTCATTCAGATTGACATGGTTAAAGGCTTTCGGGAGAGGAGCAAGTGCAAAAACATGAAATAATTGTTCAACTTAGGTAATTCAGTAAAAGTGATAGGACATTGCATAGGAGATTTTTACAACCTACTTGGTAATTTATGCATCATGAAAAAGAATATGTGAAACCACCTATCGTCGAAATGTTTTATTGGGACAATGGTTATTCATATTCCATATGGCAGCTATGGCCAAATCTTGTGACACGGATGAAAATATGGAAACAGAAACAAGAAAATCAAGAAAACATTAGAAGATTGTGATGCGCAGCAAAAATAAAGCAATTATGTAGACTGCTGCTTCATGCAGTCTAACATCTAGTATATAATTCCTCGAACTATCAAATCGAAACACAACTCCTTGCAGAACGAAATTACACTTGCAGGAGGACAAAAATGACGAGAAAAAGGGATAATACTCTCTCATTTGTAATTAGTGTAACAGACCAGAGTCATGAGGAACTAAGGCGAGACTCTTAAGGATTTAAATAAAGTAAAGAACAACGGAAGGAACTATAGTGACTGGAAGGAAATGAAATGAAACTAATTTGAACGGTAACGCTTCACAAAAAAGGAACTTGAAAACTAATTTGCGTAACTGTAGCAAAAAAGTGCTACACGTAAAAATGAATTAAGAAGCTTATGTTGTAATAACTGACCTAAAATGAGGCCACGCATTAAGGTGGAATCATTTAAGCTGTAATCAGTTCCAGGCCCCCCAAAATGAGAGCCTCTCGGTGTCCTGCTTTAAGACAACATGAGTTTTACATAAGTTCTTGTGACAGAATTAAATACGCCCAAGTTTAGAAAGGCAAGTACTGGAAGAAAATGACCCTGTTATTTTGCCTATCTTCAACTGAACAACTGAATGATGGGAACTTTTAAGAAGATTCTGATAATTTCAACTCATAAAGAAGTTGCACAATGAATGAGCAATCAGCTTACCACTTCAAATTATCCTAAACTATGGTATAGACTAAAACAGCAAGAAAAGAAAACGTCCAAACTGTAAATTGCAGCAAAGAGTCAATATATATCACTAAAACTCAGCACATACCTTTTTGATACTGTTGTGTAGTTACAGGTTTTTTGGTTGCCGCTGGCCCGATACGCATAGGCCGTGTGGAGCAATATTGCCCATTCATTTCAGTCATGGCACGCAATTGTTCATTTTCATCACCAAACCTCACAAACCCATAGCCCTTGGAACGACCAGTGAGCCTATCAGTGACAACTTTTGCACCCTTCACTGATTGATACACGGCTTTAAATGTTTCTTGTAATGTGTAATCAGTAACATCAGCAGCCAAATCTCCGACAAAAATTGTGTAGTCAGGGCCATCATCCTGGCGTCTCTCACCAGAACCAAGAGCAGCCCAGTTGAGCCTGAAATTCTGCTCAGTATTTGGCATTTGTGTGCCATTGTAACCCTGCAAAATCCTCTCAGCTGCAGCACGATTCACAAACTCAATGAAACCATAACCCTCTGGGAATCCTGTCTGCTTATTCCGAATAACCTTTGCTGAAACAATCTATACACAAAAAGAATTGATCCTTGGATCAACAAACAGGCAGTTTTCAAAGATCTCAAATTGCATAAGGCATGACAGAAGGTACGTATTGAAGATGGCCTTCTTAATCATCAAGTTGCAAGGAAATATGAAAGGAAAAAAAGTATATATGTAGAAGTAGAACTGCATCTTGCTTTTTACCTTCTGAAGAAAGTAAGAGAATATACTAAAAATTATAATTCTCTCAAATTCTTTTATTCTATCCAACTGACATTCTATTGAAAGGCAGGTTTTTTTTAAAGACCAGAAATTCTTTAATCTTTTTTTTTGAGATAAAATAAGTATAGAAATTCTCTAATCTTATACCTTTTTTTTATTTTAAAAAATAGTATACTGTAATTATCTCTATGTGTACTCCATCATGTGTATCCTGACACAGTAGCCTGACACACGTAGTTACTTATGTTCATACTGATCCCACGTCTCTACACAAAAATGCCCATTCTGTCTATTCTGCTACGTGCA